ATTTCCATTGTTACCAATACCTAAGGCTCCATTAGATCTTAACTTATTACAAACCACTAATACAAAAATTTTTAACCAACACTAGATAGAACCCATACTTTTCACAACAACATAAATACTTTAAAAAAACCATTACCTGAAGGCCTACACCAGTTGAAATGAAGGAAAGAAAGAAAAAAGGATTATGTTATTGGTGTGGAGCTAGGTATACAATGGGCCATAAGTGCAAGAGGTCACAACTATATCAATTACTTGTTGATGATTGTGAAGAGAGGATGATAAATGAATTTTCTAATTTTGTAGACATTTTTGAAGTGTTGATGAGTGAAAAAGAAGGGGTGATCAATCAATTCTTTCTTTACATGCAATGTATGGTATTTTAAATTTCAAACCATGAGAATACAAGGAGTCGTACAAAGTCATGAGTTGATTGTGATTGTAGATTTCGAGAGCACCTACAATTTTATAGATTTAATAGTGGCTGAGGCACTAGGAGTATTCACTAGACATAACTATCAAGTTTGTGTAAGATTAGCAAATGGTGAAAGTGTGAGAACTGCAAAGTTATGTCAGAATTTGCTATGGTTAGTTATGGATTCAGCTTTCTCAGCAGAATTTATGGCTTTGTCTTTGAAAGATTGTAACATCGTTTGGAAGTTAAAATGGTTAATAACCTTAGGGCTATATTAAGGGATTTATTAGCCTTAACTATGTAGTTTCAGCACGAGAATCAATGGAGAAAACTTCAAGGAATATAATATGAATTGTTAGATATGAATAATGAGAAGCAATTTTTAAAACTTTCATAATCATTAATTGTTGGTCCTATATACTACCCTTACACCTTGACATTCATTTCCAACCATCATATGCAATTGAATACTATTACCAGGACAATAGTTAATCAACTTAGTATAATTCTAAAGGATGAGATCGAGAAGAAAGACAAGGTAGTTGTTGAGTTCAAGACTTGGCTTGCAATTGCAGCATTAAAAATAGTTAAAGTAAATGCCTTGGCCAAGACAATAGTCGAGCAACAGGATAAGATTGCAGAAGGTTGCTGCTACTTGATGGAATTTTAATCACCATCATGCCGTAAAATGTCACATATGGTGGCGAAATTCACCCTAGTGTTTTAAATATTGTTCATGGTATTGTCATGCCTGATTTAAACAAGGATGCCATTTTAAATGCTTTAAGGATGGCAATGGATTGAATAGAGAAGAGTTTTTACTCGAACTAACTTCAACTCCAACTTAGACTCTTTAATATTCACACTCAACCCAACATTAAAATATTATTTTTTCTTCCCTAATTAATATATTCATAAATTGCAACTGATCCGAAATTAATTTAATAATTTTAATTTAGTATAATATTCATAAAATATTTTTTAATATAAATTACATCTTAATTGTACATTAATATAGTATTTTTATTAAGTCAATATATTAATTAAAATATTAATTAATAATTTTATTAATATAATACATATATGCAAATATAAAGTTAAATAAGTAATAAAAATATATATTTTGTGTGTGTGTGTGTGTGTGTGTGTATATATATATATATATATGAGTCAGGTCAAAACAATATATTTTAAAATTCAACTTCCATTTAAATATAATTTTAGAAAAAGATTTAACCCACCTCTGACCTGATCTTTGATTTTAAAAAAAATTGCCTTTATCAAATCGGAGTAGGTCAAAATCCTTTAAGTACCCTAGCTTTAATTATTACTGATTTTAGTTTTATTGGATAAAAGGGTATGGCACTTAGCATAATAATCTTTGTTAATGACTCAAAATCATGGGAGTAAAAACTTATAGAACATGTCACAACTTTTACAATTAATGCTGGAACAGAACTTGATGTAGACCTTGGTCCAATGATTCACAAACAGGTTAAGGGACAAATATGCAAATTAATCCAATCTAGAGTTTTGAACCATTTGTTGTACTTGATGTGTGTAGCAAATATATTCAAATGTGTTGCCACTCATCAGAAACAACATACTGCTTACACAACTAAGGTTTATCACAATATAAGCATAGCTAGGCCTCAAGCTAGTTACCTGTTTCTTGTACATTGGCTAAAATATCCAAATACATAAGTGATAGGTCTTGGGATTGGTGATACTATTAAACATTATTCAAATTTTATTACTTTTGCAAATGTTACAAAATCTCATGCATTGTGTACACTGAAAGATTATGACGGTTATGGAGCTGAACAAGGTGAAAAAACTTTCAGATAACCATTGGTTCAACATTTTATAACAACCTTGGCATTGAAGAAGATGATATATTTGTCTCAGATGGTGCTAAATATGTTATATCATGCCTTTAAGTGCTCCATGTGATATTCCTAGCTTTCATCTTTGAGGACAAGGATGCTCTACTTGGTGGGATTATTGTTATATGTTCAATTACTTAGGTTAAGTTATTTACTTGTTTTAGGCTTATTTATTTTATTTTTGTTTGTTAAAGTCTTTGTCCTTTCAGGGTATTTTATTTTCTCTTCAATTATCTCAATCTGTTGTTATATTTGTAAGGAGAGAACAAGAATGGCTGTTGTGCTCTAAAATTCTTGATATCTAATTGTGAATTTTGTTAGAAATATTAGAAATGGTAGTGGAATGGAATTGTACAGATGCTATTGAGAAATATAAAAAGAATTCATTCTCTCTTCCTAACTTTCTATTCCTTATTTTTCTTTTTATTATAGAATTTTGGAATTTTTTCTCTTTTTTTTCTACATTTCTTCTCGATAACTTTCATTTCTGTTAAACAAATTTTGGTTTACATCACATTCATGACATTAACCCATTGAAAATAGTGTTAACTGTGATACTAATTACTATCACAATGAAATTAAAATTAATAATAAAAATATGTGTTTAGATGCAAATGCAATGATGGTGATGAAATTAGATATGAAAGTTGATTACTCAACAAAAAATAAATAATTACTATGCTTGGTGCTAAGCATCTAACTCAAAACCAATTAATAGTAAATGAAGGAGCTTAACCTAAATATAAGACTTTGAGATGTTGAAAATTTATTAGATGTTGGATAATTCATTTTAAAAGGCCCATATCACATATAAACAAAGATGAAAAAAGCCTTCTACGTGACAATTAAGAAAAGGCAACAAAAAAAAAATCTTAACTCTAATACCATGTTAAGCATTGAATTTAAAATTAATTGACAGTAAGTGGAGGAGCTCAACCTAAATATAAGATTACAAGATGTTGAAAATTTATTAGATGTGAGATAACCCACTTTAAAAGGCCCCTAACCTGAATATAAAACTATAGCATGTTAAAAATTTATTAGATGTGGGATAACCCACTTTAAAAGGCCCCCATCACATGTAAACGAAGATGGAAGAAACCTTCCATGTGATAATTAGAAAAAGGCAATGGAAAGAAAATCTTAACTCTGATATCATGTTAAGCATCCAACTTAAAATCAATTGGTTGTAAGTGTAGGGGCTCAACTTGAATATAATACTATAAAAAATTTGATATTTATTAGATTTGGGATAACACCACACTAATAGGCCATCATCACGTGTAGGTAGAGATAGAAGAAACGGATTATGTGATAAATTAGGACAGGGCTACGAAAAGAAATCGTGGTTCTGATACTATGTTAAGCATCCAACTCAAAACTACGATTTTTTTTCATAGCCTTTTTTTAATTTATTACGTAGTAGGTTTCTTCCATCTTTCTCTACACGCAATGGGGATCTATTAGTGTGGTGTTATCCCAAATCTAATAAATATCAAATTTCTTATAGTCTTATATTCAAGTTAGGTCCCTTCACTTAGAACTAATTGATTTTAAGTTGGATATTTAACACCTAAAAATGAGGCAGCTGAAAGTTTGATAAAAAATAGTCGACTAATGTAATTAAAAAATATTTTTATTTCAATTTATACTAAAATAATCAAATGATTTAAACAAAGAAGTCCACAACCCTAAAGTCTAATAAACCATTGGATCTTTTTCCCTCTAATTGCTAATTAGAGAAGCAGTTAAATTAAAACCTTCAACTACATTGTTAAAGATATAATCTAAATGTACCTCACAATGTAGTTGAAAGAAAAAAAAAAGCTTGAATATCATCTCATCAAAGGTGGGATGTGATATGAGGACTTGGAAATGGCCATGAGAAAATCTTTCTAACCTATGCTTTTAGGAGATTTGATCATCCACAAAACCAATTAAATTGAACTATTCTTTTTTTCTTTTTGCCTCTAGTTTGTTTGCCCTAGTAGAGTTTCGTTTTTATCTTTTAGAATTTTCTTTCATACCTTCCCAATTTTATATTTTATTTTAAAAATTTATTCGAATCTTGAAATGAGCTAGTGGGGTTTTATGAAGGCATGAGAGTGGTCCATCTCTTTGTAACTTAAATTGTTTATGAGACAAATGAACTTATTTGGATGGACTAAATAAGGGAATAATGCCTAGTCATCTTGTCTTTGTTGCTTAATAATTCAAATTTGACGTTTCCTAATTTGTCATGGTATGAACAACGACTGCACGAATAATTTCTATTTAGATTATAAAATCATTCTTAGTAAGGAAACTGTACCTAGAATATTAGTTGGGGCCTGGGCTAAGAAGAAAATGCCCCGAACTTCAAGGAAAAAGGTTGGAAAGGCCAACTCAAATAGACATCCAAAGCCCAATATAAATGGGGCTTACATTTCTCTTCAAACCCAACTAGGCCAACAATTCTCAGCTGATCCTATACTAGTTATGGTAACCTGGTTAGGGCTTCTGGTAGCCTCGTTGGGCTTCCCCGTCTTTCCTTATTTAACTCCATGATCCACTTTTTGGTTAACCTGACAGCATCTGCCGTCTCTCACCTTTCAAACTTAAGCGACCCCGTATTTTCGAACTGTAATCGTGGAACTGTTCCAAGCAATAAAAAAAAAAGGGGGAAAAGCGGAAGTTTTTAGTCATGGCAGCCTAATATTCTTTCAAACCCCAGTAAAGTACGATAAACGCACTCCTTCATTCCCTGAATGTCACGGCATTTTTGCTTCTAAAAAGCTGAGAGAAATGTGCGTTTTTGTTTCTCTTTTCTAGTTTCTCCTGAATAGAACAGTTTGGCAGTGAGAGTTAGTTGTAAAAGAGGAAAAGGATGAAAAGGCTTGAACGGAGGTTTTGTGAGGAGTTTTCACCTGGATATTATGGGATTTGTACTGTTGGAGGAATGCTTAGTGCTGGGACTACTCACCTTTTTGTTACACCTCTTGATGTCTTGAAAGTAAATATGCAGGTGGGATCACTATGATTCTTTTTGTTTTTCTTTTTAAACTGTTAAATATGATGATCTGAGTTTTTTTTTTTTTTTTAAAAGAATGTATTTGAGCTTTGAGGCTTTGAGTAATGCTGACTTGCTTTTTACTTGTGCTTGTATTTGTTTGTGTATCACCCGCTGCCCATATTTTTCTTGTGGACTTGTGGCTGCTGTTTGGTCTTGCTATATATTGATTGGTTTCTTAAAAATACTTAGAATATGTTAGAAAATTATGAGAAAATAGAAATAATAAGAAAGAAGAATATGATTTTGAGATGTGAAAAATATTATTTTAAAAGTAATTATGCTTATAGGTTAATAAAGTTTTAAAATTCTCAAATTAGAAGTGCTGAAATTGGTCTAACAAAAATATTTATTTATAATAAACGAAAAATCACAAAATTCTTATTTAAAAAGTCATGACAATTTGTATAGTTATGTTTTCTTGTTTAAAATAAACTTAATCAAACAGTCATTTTTTTTATTCAAACATATTTATTCAGACAATTATATTTTTCTATTCAAGCATGCTTATTTAGAATAAAAATAATATTTTATTAATATTTAAAAATTTAAAAATTAAATAAAATATAAATTTATTTATTAATCCAAATGCCCAAGTGCTTAATCTTTTGACTTTTAAAATTATTTAATCCATTAAGAAAACATCTAGTAAATCCAAATGACTTGATTTATTCCAACACTTAGATTAGTTACTTAATACACAAGTAATCTCTTTTAAACTACATATAAATTATCTTTCTATTCAATATATGCATCACATTTTAAACTACCAACAGATGTAAGGCTAAATACTAACTTTTCCCTTTTGGCTACACATTTCTTACATATTCTGTAAGTTAGCAGTAGTGAGAAGACAATGAGATTGCCAAATTGTTTTCTTGATTACTTAGAAAACTTTATTGCGCTTGGTCCAGTTTGGAAGATGGAAATTCTTCCTGAATTTGAGAGTGAAGGAGAAGGGTGTGTGGAACAGAAACTTTTAAGAAGGGGAAGTCTTGGAATCTCCATCAAGGAAAGAGTTCTGCTGTTAGTTTGCTTGCTATGGTATAATCAGTTTATATAGCAGCAGGGAAATTAAATTCGTAGATGTTATTTTAACACATCTTTGGATGCTTTACCTTTATTATGGTACTTCGGTTGTCTTAAAAAATAGAAACACCATGTGTGTTTTAACTGCTTCGTATAGTTCATTGCACTTCTTGATCTCCTAAGTTTCCCTCCTTCCTTTATTCTTTGTAGGCTACTCATCTAATTATTTGATTTTTTCTTTAGGTTAATCCGATCAAGTATAGCAGCATTTCATCAGGGTTCTCTGCCCTTTGGAGAGAGCAGGGGCCATCTTCTCTTTGGAGAGGTTGGTCTGGCAAGTTCTTCGGATATGGTGTTCAAGGAGGTTGCAGATTTGGTCTTTATGAATACTTTAAGGGGCTTTACTCCAATGTTTTGGTAGATCAAAACAAGACTTTCATATTCTTTCTCAGCAGTGCATCTGCTCAAGTATTTGCTGATGTGGCTCTCTGTCCTTTCGAAGCCATTAAAGTTCGTGTTCAGACACAGCCCACTTTTGCGAAGGGTTTGGTTGATGGATTTCCAAAACTTTATAAAACTGAAGGGCTTACTGGGTACGTTATACTAATGCCTGAACCTTTTCTGCTTTTCCTTCGTCAGTGATGTTTATCCATTTCAATTTGATGCAGCTTCTACAAGGGACTTTGTCCACTTTGGGGCCGCAATCTTCCATGTAATGTTAATACTTTGCTGCGCTTTTAGAATTTTCAGTTGATTGTTCCTAGAAAAGAATTTAAGATGTGTTTACTGGTGGTTATTGCCCAGGAGGGCCTTTCTAGTCTATCTTGATATTCACTCTATTAGCTTGTAAGCTTATGTCGACAAATTCTGATTTGCAAATATTATGCTTGTCATTTATGATTTCTGTATCCTCTCATTATTATATTAGTAATAACTTACTAATGCATGCCTTGCTAATGCTTTCTATCTGTTTGAAGTTGGGATGGTGAGGTAGTTTGGCTAAATAGAGAAGATAACGAAAGTGACATTGCTTCTTGCTAGTCACTGGTTTTATGACCATACTCTTATGACACCTATGTCTCTTTTCTATATCTGGGTTTGAGCACATGATACATATAATAATCTTGCTTAGACATAGGAGTTTAAGCACAAGGACTTTGACACTTTACCTTTCAGAATGAAGTTTAAAGTCAAGCTAGAATGCTTAGATTGTAGGCAAAAGGATATGTGCTCAGTTAACCTTCTTGTCAACAAGCAAGTAGCTACAAGGACATCTGAGATGTTAATCTTGACATACTACTTGCTTGCCTGTATATGTCTGTTTTGGCATGTATTGGAATTGTCAAGTCTAGTGCATTTATATCTAATTCTGTTTCTTAATGTGATATTCTGATTGGCAGTCTCAGTGATAATGTTCTCAACATTTGAGCATTCAGTGGACTTTATCTATAGAAGTATCATTAAACAGAGAAAAGAAGATTGTTCCAGAGCTCAACAACTTGGTGTCACATGCTTAGCAGGGTATGCAGCTGGAGCAGTTGGTGCCGTAGTCTCTAACCCTGCTGATGTCATTGTTTCTTCTATTTACAACAAAAAGGCAGATAATGTGTTGCAGGTAGCACCTATGAGTAATGTTTTTCTTTGTCTTATTTGAAGTACAACAATTTAAAATGATTAATTGTGTTATTTGATATTGTAACTTTCAGGCTGTTAAAAAGATTGGGCTTGTTAATCTGTTTACTAGAAGTCTTCCTGTTCGCATAACACTCGTGGGACCTGTTGTTACCATGCAATGGTTTTTCTATGACACCATCAAAGTGCTATGTGGACTGTAAGTGTTTTCACTAACTCCAAATTCTGAAGTCATTAGAAGAAAGACTAGTATTAGGCTGCATTCAATTTTAGACGTAACAAATTTTGGTTTTCTGCTTCATGAATTTATAAATTATTATCAGAGGATTGAAGCATGAACTTGATTGTTCTTCAAGGATGTAATGTGGTTGTGGATATCTCCTTAGCATTGTGCAGTTCTCGAGTTAATGTTTAGTGCAATGATCACTTTCCTTTATTGTTATAGTCTTTCTTCTAACAAAGCGAATATCTTAGGCCTACTAGCGGAGGACTCAACAGACAATTACAACAAGCTGATTTATCATCTTAACCTCTTTGGAGTAGAATCTACAATTCCATCAGGCCAAGTTCTGTAAACATCAAAAGTTAACAATCCCTGCAATTTGGGCGTATGATACATAATCATTCTGATCATGGAGATGTCAGAAGGTTATTTAAACCTATCTTAATGGGTACCAACTATTGTAAAAGGTTCAACATTGCCTTAAAATGATTCTTTCCATTGTTGAAAATGATACTCCCTTCCCCATCCTTCCCCTTCCTTTTATTTTTTATCTGGAGGGGTATCATACTTTGTTTTGTCACGAGAGAATTCTTATCAGACTTTCGTGTGACTAATAAATTGCTGTCATTGCTATAATTAAGGATTCTAATGACTCTTAACTTGTTGTATGACAGCATATTTAGTAGTTAATATTGCATGATCCTAGTTGACAGCTTATTTTGGCACATTGGTGTTTCTATCTTGGCTCTTCTTGTTTTTTTGTTCTTTATTTATATTTGGTTCAACATGAATTGTCTTTGTCGATTGCTATGGCATGATATGTAGTGGCCTTGACTGGACAGGCTACACGCAACATAAACCAGCCAATGGAAATGGAAATCAGTTAAGCAACATCACTGTTTACTGAGGCGGAATGGGTGCCCGGTCTGCATGGCAAATACTTTAAAGTAAGAGCCTCTAACAAAGATCATGTTTGGAAGGGCGATGGAGGGTCCAGTTCAACAAGGGCCAACTGGGAGCGCATTAAGTGGGAAATCTTGTGTATCAGTATATGTATTTTGTTTATACTTGTAATCTGATCAGACCATAATTGATCTTGGCCAATGCTATCATTATCTTTGTTTTAATTATCCTTACTAAATGTAGGTAGGGAAAGTGGAAGTGGAACTCACAAGTCACTTCCTTGAATTACAAAGTTGGCAGCCCACTTGCTGAGGGTAGAGATGACGGACAACCCAAAAGGCACAAAGTCTGTGCTTTATGTTTGAAAAAAAAAAAAAAAAGGTCAAAGTAAACCAGTGCAAAAGAAATTTTGAGTATTAAATGTGGTAGAATCCAATGTATGCGAATGCAATTGGAAACAAACAGTAGTGGCAGCAGCCAGCTGCACGTTTTATATGGTTTGGAAATTATTTGCTTTCCGCGTCCACGTTCAGACTTATCTGACAAAAGCAAGGGCAATTTTTGTTCTATTTTTGGCCAAGAAACATAGAGCCGTGTCATATGCAAAACCCCAACATTCCTGCAAACTCCGGATGCAATTGATATGTTACTATCAAATCAGTCTATGTAACTTAATGCAATAGCTGTGGGTTCATCACTGACCCATATACTGCAGTAATTATGTACTTTCTTTCCCGGATAATTTAATTTTGTCTCAAGTCTCGTTTGAATGAATGATAAGATTAATTTAAGTAAGATTAAAAATAATAATAATAATTATTATAATTATAATTAAAAAAATATTATTTTTATAATTAAAAAAATTTTAATAAAAAAATTTAATAAAAAATTTATATTAAATAAATTTTATTAAAATTAAAATTTAAATTTAATTAATAATATAACGAAATCAATCGCATCGCATAAAAAATATGACGTGCTCAACTTGCTTGCCTCCGTATTCTTTTCTATCCATCCTCTTCTGTTCTAGAGTTTCTGCTGTTTAGCCAAAACAAGAAAAACTATCAGGGGGTGAAAATCTAGAGGATCAGTTCAGTTGCATTCACTTCATGTATCTCGGAACAATATGAAAAATAATATAAAAAAAATAAATGATTTAAAATTTTAATAAAAACTATATATAAATTAAAAAAAAAATATGTATTAAAATCAATTTGATATGATGAATTTTGTATTTTACATTTATTTAATATGAAGCAAATGTGATATAATAAACAAATTGTCATATCTTTACTTTTCTTTCTTTTTTACTAACAAAATCTTTTTAAGAGCAAGGAGAGTTTTCCAATGAGAAGCTATTTAATAAAATTGGTTAAGAAATAATCAAATTATTTTGGGATCAAGATCAAATTATCATTATATATTATAGATTAATATTGAAATATATTATTATATTTTAATTTCATTTAATTTTATCACAATATATATTAAATTTTATTTTTTAAAAAAATAACAAATTTGATGAACATTTGTCACTTACATTAAGGAAGGATTTCATAAAATATTTTAATTCCAACACAATTGTCCAAAAATATAATCTTATAGCTTTGAAATTATGGTGAAAAAATTTATAAAATTAAAATATGGGGACAAAATTTAATATTAATTACGGTAAAATGACAACTTTGACTTTAACGTTAATTATAAAATTACATAAAATTCATTTTTTATCAAACTCGTTTCAACTTGACAATTGTACTAGCAAAACAAAAAGGAGTACTGCTCCTATTTTCTTTCTTTTTTTATTTTTTATTTATTTTATTTTTGTCAAAAGAGACAACTGATGACCCAGTCAAGAAGAAAATTGAATAAGATTACAAAATGCAAGATGTAATTTAAAAATTGCAAAAAAAAAAAAAAAAGAAAAAAAGAAAAAAGGAAAGAAGATAAAGTTTTGCGTGGTGTGCTAAGTTGGTTTGAGGCTCTTGACTTGGTCTCATCTCATGGAATGTATCTCTAACATTTTTTTCATTGGGCATTAATAAGAAAAATTTGTCAAAATCATGTCTTATGAACATGATTAAAATTGTTATTGGTTTAGGACAATATATACTAAGAAGAAAACCCAATTGAGGGGGTAAATATTTATTTATTTTTTGGTTAGGCATATTTTAAAATTTGTTTTTATTTTATTTTTTTAAGTATTTTTGTAAAAATCAAATTGTAATTGATAATTTTTTTTAATTAAAGGGATTAAATTCTTTGTAAGTGATAAATGCTTATGCTTTTAACGTTATTATTAGTACATTCTTTGTTATTGTAAAGTTTGATGTTTCATGTATTTTAAACTAAATTTAATTAATTTACATAATATTTTTTAAAATATATTTAATAAATTTTAAATTCAAAATTTAATATTTATTATCTTTTTCTTTATTTTTACCATTAAAAAAAAATCCTTCACTTGCTGTAATTATGAAGCTGGCGGCAGTGGCTCATATTCGTAGGTTTCATTACAGATTGAGAGAATGATGAGACTAATATTCAAAAAGTTCAAAAAGTTGAATCATGTGCATCTCATAATTCCATTCCACTGTTATATGCTGTGTAAGTGCCTGTTCTCATATGACAGATCTTAGCTTTTGAGATCCCATTTATCCAATGCTACCAGGCAAAAATCACCTAAAAACCACTCAAAAAAGCAAAGGGTTAGGATCTTTCTTGGCTGCTAAGGGAATTTCAAATAATCCAAAAATATTAATATAAAAACAAGTGCTCTGTTCAGGCATAGACTTTTTGGGATTTCCTATAACTGGAAATTGATGTTGAAAAATTGAAAAGTGCCGTTGGGCTCTAGTCCTCCTTGCGTTCTAGATTGTGATACAGGAAGTCATAAAGAGGGTAAATTAGTCAAACAAAAGTTGTTATGCAAGGGAAACTTCATAGTTCAAACCAGAAGCAGAAGAAGGCCATTCAAAACAGAGCTGCTTGTAAGTTTTAAGATTGTATAAAATTAGATTTTGGATTTTTTTCCTCAAACAATTAGCTGGAAATTTTGACTAAAACAACCTTAAGACATGTCGTACACCCACAAACTTTTAATCTGCGTGAAATCACGTACCAATCAAATAACTACAAACTCCAACGTTGTCGTCATTCGTCAACCTTGAGAAACGTCAGCCATGAACCATAATTTACTGATTTTATTTTCTTGGAAAAAAAAAAGCAAGAAAACAAAAATGGGTATTTTCAATTTTCATTACATTGTGAATGTTTGTAAGAAAAAGGAGAGAGAAAAAGAAAAGAAAAATAAAAGGAGAGGAAGAGGAGAGAAAGGGAAGAGGGAAGGGGGAGGAGAGGTAGCTGGTCAGCACTCTCGTATCCGATGTTTCTTAGCAACAGCACCCCAAAAATAACAACAAAAACAGAATCAAGATTCAAACTTTAAAAAACCCACCAACAGCTGTTCTTGTGGATGTGTTTTGAATCAATTATAGTCATCCACTTTAGACATTTCCTTCTTTGTCTCTCCTTCTATCATCTCATTTCCTTTTTTTTTCCTTCCTTCATTTTCTTTTCACTCCTAACTGGTACTTGATCTATCTTTTCCTTTCTTTTTCTTCCTATCTTTGGTTTCTTTCTTATTTCTTGTTATCTTGAGTTCTTGATTGTTGTGTAAGTGTACATATTTGTAAGTTGATCTCTCTTTTTCCCCCCTTTTTCTGGTCTGAAGATTTGTTCTTCTTGATTGATATTAGGCTTGCCCAAATTTTCTTTGATAACTCTGGTCTGTCTTTGATTGGATGTGTCTCCATGTAGAAGATTGTGACTTTGTTTATTTTTGCTTTTTGGTTTCTTGGAAATTAGTGAAAAGGAATCACTTTTCTTTCTTTCTTTCTTTTTTCTGTAGCAAATAGAATGGAGCTTTTTTTGAACATTTTTTTATACCTGATACTCTGATCTGATATGGGATTTTTTTATGCTTAGATTTGAGGTTTAGTTTGGTGATGATTGAAGTTTCCAGTTCTGGGATCATCGAAAATTTACATTTTTCTATTTCTTTTCCAGCGTAATTGATGAGATATCATTGGATGAGGAAAATCCTGTTGTGGGGGAAAATTTGATTGTTTCATGGGCAACACATGCCGTGGATCTTTCAAGGGGAAACTTTATCTGGGCTACAGTCAGCCCGAGGATCATTCTTCCAAGCGTAACAACACTTCTTCCGACCGTTCCAATTCTGATTATTCCCCTTCTAGTTTAAACGCTCAGCAACTTATTGCCCAAGAATTCTCCAAAGAAACTAGCAAAAAAGATACCCATTTGGCTCTGATTAGCCCCACCAAGAAAGATAACATCATGAGACGTGGTGGAGTTGATCACCAGGCTTATTATGTTTTGGGTCATAAGACTCCTAACATCCGTGACGTTTACACTTTAGGTCGTAAGCTAGGACAAGGACAGTTTGGGACTACTTACTTGTGTACTGAGATTTCTACAGGCATTGAGTATGCCTGCAAGTCTATATCCAAAAGGAAGTTGATTTCCAAGGAGGATGTGGAGGATGTAAGGCGGGAGATTCAGATAATGCATCATTTGGCTGGTCACAAGAATATTGTGACGATTAAAGGTGCATATGAGGATTCTTTGTATGTCCATATTGTGATGGAGCTTTGCTCTGGAGGTGAGTTGTTCGACCGAATCATCCAGAGGGGACATTACACTGAGAGGAAGGCTGCTGAATTGACAAAGATTATTGTTGGGGTTGTTGAAGCTTGTCATTCACTTGGGGTTATGCATAGAGATTTAAAGCCTGAAAACTTTTTGTTAGTTAACAAGGACGATGATTTCTCTCTCAAGGCCATTGATTTTGGACTCTCTGTCTTCTTTAAACCAGGTAAGGAATGAAATGTTCTTCCTTAATTTTGCAATTTTATATTCTGAAGCAACTTAAGTAGCCAGAACATACACCAAGTAATTAATGGAGAATCATTTTTTATGGTACATTTAATCTACCACTTATTCCTCTTTTCGTAAGTGAATTACTTGGTCTTGTTTAAACGCAATTCTTAACCTTTAACATGTAAACTTAATGCGTAGTACCTTAATGGGTATATGTTGTGAATGCCTATTAAATGATGACAGGGAAGAACACATTTGTAATAATTGAAGTGCCAAAATTTCTTTCTTTAGTGAGTCACAGATTAATTGAGCCCCTTTTGTTTATAATGAAACCAATGGTTTCTAGAATCAAGTTGATTGACATACTGCGTGGTTTACTACTTTAGGCCAAGTTTTTACTGATGTGGTTGGAAGCCCATATTATGTCGCTCCTGAAGTACTCCTCAAACATTATGGACCAGAAGCAGACGTGTGGACTGCAGGAGTTATACTCTATATATTGCTAAGTGGCGTGCCACCATTTTGGGCCGGTATTTATGTTGTTTTATGGTTCTGTATCATAATTAGTTTTCAAGTAATTCTATAGTTACAACTTTTTTCTGTCTGTTCTTCAGAAACGCAACAAGGAATATTTGATGCAGTGTTAAAAGGATATATTGACTTCGATTCAGACCCATGGCCCCTGATATCTGATAGTGCTAAGGACCTAATCCGGAAGATGTTATGCTCTCGACCTTCAGAGCGGCTGACTGCTCATGAAGTATTATGTATGTAATATGTATTACCTCTCTATTATTATCTAGTTGATGTTAATGAATGTCTCGAACCAATAAAAAAGATGAAATAAAGTAAGCTGCTTTCTATCATTTCATACTTGTTTTTTATGTTATTATTACTTCTTAGGTGAATGTGGCGTAGTAGTATCCTTTTTTTTTACATTGCTAATTACTATGATCATGTAGAGATGCGTAAAGTTGCTGAGTCGCTTCAATGCGAGGTGCTCAATATGTTTTTCAAGCTTGGTTTTCTTATTGATCTAAATATTTAAGCAAGTTTATGATCTCAGCTATTTGTTGTCAGAACATGTATCCCAAAACCATAGTGCGCCTTGCTACAAAGAAATAAGTACTTGTATTTATTTTTATTTATGCACCTTCTCCATTTCTGCGCTTGGATATTTTAATAAATAAGTATAGTTCTTTCTCTAGAGTATTGCTAATTTAACACAATTAGAATCAGAATAATTCTTCTTATGTGATAAGTGAGAATTCGCTCTATTGGTCAGTATAGTTTGTTACCTCCTTACCACATTTGCTTTTTGAATTGTTTAGGTCATCCTTGGATTTGTGAAAATGGGGTTGCCCCTGATAGGGCACTGGATCCAGCTGTACTTTCTCGTCTTAAACAATTTTCAGCAATGAATAAGCTAAAGAAAATGGCTTTACGGGTAAGATTCTCAAGATGTATGTGTGCCTGAGTCTGCATCTGTGTATTTCTATCTGTGCATTGTGAGAGAAGAAACAGGATGAGTATGTAAAACTAGGTCCTGTTTAATAAATCAGATAATGGTTTCTTCAAGTTATGAACGTTAATACCCAACCAATGCTGCAGAACTTGCTGTTTGTCTGTATAAACAAAGAATGCACCATTTTTTTCTCAAATATTTCTCTGCCTCACTCTGGCTCTGGCAGGTCCTTGCAATTATTATGTTAGAGTTTAGTCTTAAGCACAATGGAACTTCATGTTGGATTAAACATGCTCCTTTCTAGAGTTAATGTAGTCAAACTCATTTTGACAGAAAAAGCTCTGCCCCTTCTGTACTATCAGGTAATAGCTGAAAGTCTCTCTGAGGAGGAGATTGCTGGTTTGAGAGAAATGTTTACAGCTATGGATACTGATAACAGTGGTGCAATCACATTTGATGAACTCAAAGCTGGTTTGCGAAGATATGGCTCTACCTTGAAGGATACGGAGATAAGGGACCTTATGGATGCAGTAAGTTTGTTTTGAAGCAGATATCTGGATATTTGTTTCATTATCTTTTTTGTATTCTTTTTCTTCTTCCTGCTCTTTTTTTCAATCTTTTGTTTATTTATTTTCTTCTTCTTGCTTAATAAGTCTTTGTAATCCTTCTTGTTCCTTTAGTCTAATTGTCTAAATGTCAGCTTATACTTGTTCATGAATTTGTGAATTTGTATTGCTTCTTGTTCCTGTGACTTAATTGTCTAAATTTCCTGTAAGGTTTGCATCCATCCTTACAGAGGCATTTTTCAGGAACAAGAACTTCCTTTCATTGTAGATAGCTTGGGCTAGAGGAAAAGTCTTATGATTGAGAATGCTTTTCTTTACTTGTGTTTATGGATAAATTTTTGTACAAGGGTGACATTGACTTGATGGTTTATGTGGTTACTGTGCCTGTTATGTTATTTCCTGTGTTAATTGCAAGTTAATCATCTGAGCACGTTTATTTGTTCTCAGGCTGATGTCGACAATAGTGGGACCATTGATTATGGGGAATTTATAGCTGCAACAGTTCACCTTAATAAACTAGAGCGTGAGGAACATCTTGTTGCAGCATTCCAATACTTTGATAAGGATAGAAGTGGCTATATTACAGTAGACGAGCTTCAGCAAGCTTGTGCTGAGCATAACATGACAGATGTTTTGCTTGAGGATATAATCAGAGAAGTTGATCAAGATAATGTAAGTCATATTACCTTGATGACTGGATGGCAAGAATTTTCTCAAGCTAGCTAATTTATTTCATTGATCTTTATGGTTGTTTTTTTACATGGTTGAGCATGGTAGTGATAACAACAATGCAGAATGATCAAGTACCTCTTCGAGTGTCTCACTGTTTACGGTTCCTAAATTTTATAAGGGAAAGAAGAAAGGGGGAGGTAGAAAGGTTACTAGAATGTTTGTCTTCTGTCTAGGAAGAGAGAGCGAGGGAAGGAGGGAGGAAAAAGATAGAAATATTACTGACTGGTTGGCTTTAAATTACTATCTACTTTAGAAAAGTATAAAAATGTTATAAATGGGTCATTTTGTCTATGACTTGACATTACGATACCATTTCAATTTACTTAGCCGAAGCAGTGGGGTTTGGGCGAGAAGGTGCTCAGTGCACTGTTTTCTTAGTTGGAATAGATCTTCTTTTTTCCTTAATTTGTTGATTAAGTTTCAAATTTTGCTACTTCTGCTTTTATTTCAGGATGGAAGAATCGATTATGGTGAATTTGTTGCCATGATGCAAAAAGGCAATGCAGGAATTGGTAGACGAACCATGCGAAACAGTCTGAATATGAGCATGAGAGATGCCCCAGGTGCTCAATAATTTCCAGCCAGGCACATCATGTACAGGTATCTTTGAACTGTCTATTTATATCCTCTTTCCGGTTTCTATGATCTTCCCCCCGGTCACAGGCTAGCTTCTTAGAAGCATCATTTATTTATTTTTTGTTTTGGGATGGTTGAAGCACGAGAAAAAGAAAGCAACTTTCAGTTTAGGTTATAAATTGGATTAAGTGGACATTCCGACTCACATCTAGCCTGAAAATTTAAATAGTCTGCAATGGTGCAATGCAATTGTAAGGACTCATTTATGAATATTCAAGCCTAGCTTCATCTAATCTACTCATTCAAGTACCTTAGAACTGTTGTGCTACTCTCCAAGTTATGATGAAGAATCAAGACAGCATTAGAAAACTTGATAATTTTGATGCACAATCAGTAAACCTGCTATGATTGTGCATATAATTTGTATGGAATGATAATGAATTGAAAATCTGCAATATTTTTGTATTGGTGTTGCATTATTGTTTCTGCAGCTGTGTTTTAAGATACTGTCAGGCTAGCAAATATAATTCAGGAATGAAATTTGTTGATTTCTCTGAAAAAATCAGGTCCACGTCTTCCTTCGCGGGACCTTTTAACTTTCTGCTAGTTATATGATACCTGTTGGTTCTCTCTATTCTTAGTCCAGAATACTGACAGTTGCGTGTTGGCAGATTTTTCAGCAACGTCAGAAGAAGATGGTCCGTGACAAAGCTTTCAGGAAACAGCTTTGGTTCCTCCCATGCTCCAGGACTTTGTCACTGAATTGCTGGTTATGGAAGGTTCTTTGTTTGAGCATTTACTGAGATGCTATTGGTTTATGATGCTATATGACCAATCATAAGCTTTGTAGACTTCAGCAGTGTGAATTGTTGCAGTTATTGAAATTACCAAGTTATTAGCAATATCTTTAATCGATGCTTGCTGTTGATTTTTGAAGAAAAGGATTTTCAGATATTGTGCTTTGAAACTGGTTCCTTTTTTCTTTCTTCCTTTATGCGAAATGGCTCTCGGGCTTGGCTGAGCAAATAGATAGGCCTATTTGTATCATAGAAGGTAAATTGAGAATTAAAAGAAGAAAATAGAAGGAGAATAAAAAAAAAAGTCATAACTTAATTGCATCTGTAATAAAACCAGGATTGCAATTATAACAGCGTAGGATCACATTCCTTGTCACGTATGCCAAGCATTCGGTGATATATGTCAATTGTTTTTATTATCATTAAAATGTCTCCTGGGATTATTGGCAAAGGTGCTTATCTCTTACAGTGAGGTTATTCTGACCGCTAAATTTCAGTGGATCGATTTCTTTTTCAATTTGCTGTTCAGTGTATCCTGAATATAAACCGACATTCTGTAGCAACCAAACTCAAAAATCAAGATTGTGGGTGAGATTTCTCTTTCCAGATGTTGGTGTAAACTTTAAACCAGCAGATTATATAGTTTCACAAAATTTTGTGAACTATGCCTGCCAACCAATAAAATTTACTGAAAAAATGTGGTTATTTCTCAACATCTTTGATATCCATGAGTCTATATTGAGTTAGAAGTTCATGAATTTATATGCGTTCTAAAAACAAGCCATGCTGAAGAAACAAGAAGTTGACTAGTTGGTCACCCTGAAGGATGATTCACTTTCAACAGCCAGCATATGCTGCACAAGTTATAAGATTGTAGAAAATTAGTAATGCTGATTTAAATCAGAAACTTGAATCCTATAAAAAGCTAAATATAAAAAGTCGTAAACAAAACTTGCCTTCAACTTCCCCTTGAGAAGCTGCTTCTTGATGTAACAGCACATCCCTGATCATACAGCCACCCCACCTCACTGCAGGTTTCACCTTCTTCTCTTTCTTTTAAAGAACACCATAATTGTTTGGGAAGCAATATGAGATTGCTGTCATCTCTTATTGACTTCAGCTCCCCCTTATATCTTTGAGCTGAAGAAAGTTGTGGAGTCTTTAAAACAAGTTCACAATAAACGGTGATCAGGCTGTAGAACAACATTCTGTTCATCAAAATTATGCCTAATTGCCGATTAATGACCCAGAGGGATACACTTAGAAGGATTACTTCACTATAAAAGCATAGAGCAAGAAACTAGAGCAACAATATCCACAAAACTCAGACTTTCAATTCAGTGTAAAGTACAATAATGCATGGAAGGGAAAAAAAAATTATGAATTTCAACTATCATTCCATATGTAGTGGATCTTAATTGGATCGGCTACCTATTTCTGATAAAATCACCTATTAGTATTGTATTCAGTCATCATTACTACAGTTCAAGTTGAAACTAGCTAGTAAAAAAGAAGTGTTTTATCTTGAAGATTAATGAGGACCAAGCAGACGAGCCAGAAGTATTAAGCCATCAAGAAAACATAGAATGTTGAAAGAAGACATTGAAGCTACAAAAGTTACACTTACATCAGAAGCTTTTGTGACAGGTGTTAAGCAAATGAAGAATCACGGATAGCACATCCACCAAGCTGGTCACCATTTCTAAATGGACTGTTCCACTGTTCACATAAGAGTCTAATGTTTTGCAACACAAACTTTGCACCACCCACACGGACAACCTGAATTATCCTCACACGAGACTCCTTATCCCGAGGATTGATCAAGCAATGCTCCAGCTCCCCCAGTTTATGTGTGTACCATTATCTGCAACTGGCAAGATGGTGTGAAAATTCTACTATTGCTGCATTGATAATTAAACTTATTGAGGGTGCGAAAATGAATGAAGAATGACTTTAGAATGATGTTGATGATGGTTTACCGTTATATTTTGGCAATGGGAAAGCCAGGGAGTTCACAGTTCTGTTATGTGATATCACACTGCTTGCTGCTGATGCCATTTTCAATCTTTGATTTTTGCTGTCCTTTGTTTTTAATTTTATTTTATCTTATCCTCAGTTTGATCTCAGAGCATCAATGGTTTCCAAGGAGGAGAAGTTACAATAAACAACTGCCAATGACAGTTACTTATTTGCAAAAAATCTAAGTTTTCAATTATTTTTAAATAAATTAAATACCATAAATGATTGTTAAAAAAATTCTCATATTGCATTATTATCAATAAAATTCTCTCTCTTTCTCTTTCTTTTTTTTGCATATATTACAGTGAAAATTGGATAGAGATGTTGATTTTGTGCTATTTGAATTCTATATTTCATAACATGATTCATGTGTTTACTACTAAAATTCTTTGCCACATCAAAGGCACTTCTTGCAATTTCTACATAGATGTGACTTAAAATTGCTTGGTTTTCAAATTTATTTTTTATATTTATTTTATTTTCTTGATATTTCGATTTGATTTGATAACTTAAAAATTGCAAGCCTGAGTACCACACATATTATATTATCCAAAAAGAAAAAGAAAACACATGAATAATTTTCTTAAAATTTTACTGGATGCAGCATATCCAGTCTAAATGATCATAAAAGCCATATAACTCCTTTGATTAATGGTATAAATGAATAAAATAAACATGTTGGTGGTAGTATTAAAAAGAAAAGCTAGGAAGTTGCTATCACTAGCGCTTTTTTTTTTTGTTGTCTGAATCGAGCCAAAACCTGTTGTTCGTCGGCAGAACTTGGCATGAACTAAATATCAAACTATTAGGCAGCAGACACCATGTAGCACATGTGCAGCTTCATTGCGGCCAAAAGATTTAAGGACAACATACGATCGCTGTCTTTTCCTTTTTCCCCTGTCTCTTTCATTTTGGAGAGACGGAGGGACCACAACCAATGTCCTGCCGAGCCTAACCAAAAATCTATATTCCTTGAACCCAAATTTGTCTTATATCGGTGGATACTCCCAACACAAATTTGAGATTTCACCGACGGATATTTGTCTCAATTCGTCGGTGATATGAGGCCTCCATGTGACTTTATAAGTTCTGGTCAAAACAGAATTATGATACATCTATTATCTTTATAGCTTATGAGAAAAAGAGAATCAATTGACAAAACCCAAATTTATGCACCGACACGTTTTCGGCACGATTCAAGGTCACTTGATGCCCGGGAAACCAACACTTTCAATGGCGCTTGAATCTAAGTAACTGGTTGGAAATGTCTTTCATTATCTGTAACAGTGGGATGAAGGCTTTGGTTTGTCTCATGAATCATGGGGGCTTTGCTGGCTTGGAGTATGTTACCAGAACATGTTATCCTCGCTGGCTATGATTGGAATTGCACCTTTGTGTCTGGCACCGACATTTTGTAGAGAAAGCCTCCCAAAATTTTGGTGTAACTCTGTAAAACTACACCTTTTAATTCCTGATTGCTACTACAAATTGTTACTACCTCATTTCTATAGCCGATCTCCCTCGATCCTTATCAGAATTTTTTTTTTTACTAAAAAAAGTTATAACTAGGAGAAGAATTATATAAGCTGAGATTTGAACATGTTAAATATAATTTTTTTTAAGGATATTTGCATTAATAATCTGAATTGTTAGAACAATATATCTTGCAAATGACTAAAAGAACGAAAAATTCGATATTGCATTACATAAATAAATACAACACTGATTTTGAACCTGCAAAAATAAATAATGAAATAAAAAAATAACAACAACTGTATTTGTAGCTAATAGATGTTGTCTAATACAGTGAATCCATTATCCACCCTGTTGCTGCGACTTCTCTTTTTGTTCAATGGCACCATCATAGCCATAAGGCCAATTAAGTTGAATTTATGAAGATTTGTAAGTGTGGTTGGCCACCAGCCAGAGGAGAGTGCAAGTAGTGGAGTAAGGTGGATTCATCTCAACGAACGAGTAGTTGAAGTGTTTTAACTCTTCCCCTCCAAGCAAAATCACATTGCATAACAGACAGAACAATTTAATTACAATTTACAGGCCATTGTTTCTTTTCACGAATGAACATATGCATTATAATAATAAAGGAAAGGTGAAACCCAAAAAAGAAAAACCAAGAGCCATACAGAAAACACAGAGTTCTACCGTCTCTCTTCTGATCTGAATCTGGCTGCAAAGAAGCTTATTAATCTCCCCTTTAGAGCTTTCTTTGAACACCTCCATTTATCATGCATTCCAAATCAACCATAGATTTTCTTTCCATCATCAAAATTCTTGGAGTAATCTAAAGAATCGTACCTGAAAGTTTGTGGGAGGCCAACTTTGTCAGATCCCACGAGTTTTTTTATCTCAGACCTAACCTTGTAAAAAACATGTCTCCAGCTGCCTTTATTGTGGCAGCCGAGAATCCTAGTTTCTTCTTCGTTCATTTCAAGGTCTTGAGCAAACATGGGCTTTCTGGAGAGAACCCAAGACCAGCCCCAGTCCCACCATTTCCTGATGGAGCTTCCAGCATATTCTCCCATGGAAGACAATGATTTCGATCTATGGAATGCCCATGAAGTTGCTGGTGAAGAGATAGGCTGCAATTTGAGAGACAGAGAGGAAAGCCTTCTTCGTAACCCTGGCAACTGCTCTCTTGATTCAGCTTGAGAGACAGGAAGCCCTTGGCTCTTTCGAAAGCTCTGTATAATGGAGCTCATGGTTGTTTTCTAACAAGAACAAGAAACGCCAAAGAGAGTGAAAATGGTTGATGGGGTAGCGTTTCTTGCTTAAGAGACAGAAGGGCGAGAGGCAAAACGTAGTGTTCACAGATCTAATACGGGCTGCTTTATGCTATTTTTCGAAGGAAAAATAGATGATGATTGTGGGGTCCATGATTGTTTCTAGGGCAAATTTTATTTTTATCTCTATTTTTTAAAATTTAATTTGAGAAATTAGTCTTTTTAAATTTTATTACGGTGACTTAAGTTGTCAAATTAGGTGTTGATTAATCATTAATCAAGGCAGATCCCTTGTCTAATCATTTTCCATCAAGCATTATACTAGTAGTAGATTGGAACAACAACAAACAGACGCAATAAAGTGGGTATGTAATTTTTTTATTTCAAGTTGTTTAAATTTAAATTTTGATTTATAAAATTAAAATTTTAATATTTTATTAATAAATTAAATGATTGTTGAATTTTATAATATTTTTGCTTGAGAGGAAATGATTTTATGTCAACTAGACAAGGATTGAATTATGGTTTTATAAGTAAGAGTCACATTTTTTATATTAATACACTTTTCTTAAAGAAAAAAATTGTTAGGGCAAACCTTCCATTCTTAAAGAGAATATTAAACCTTGTGTACGGAGCCCCAATGTCATTTTTGGGCCAAAATTAAAATGACATTGGACACATGATGGGCTATATCTCAGCCATTGACCTACAGATTACAATCTCAGAAGCCCAATCAACAAAGTCGGTGAACCGAACTCAAGAAAGGTTCGAGTCAGCCCATGTTCTTTTTCTTTGCTGATTTCTTCTATTTTTCGCGACAAAGAAAAAAAAAACTTGTTTATTCTACAAAAAAAAAAAAAAGAAAAAAAAAGCAGAGCCAATAGCAGAACTGTGAGATCTGCTAGAAGCTGTTTCGAACATGGAGTATCGCAAAATCAAAGATGAGGTAATCCTATCTCTTTATCGTTGTCTTCACTCGTACCTCGCAACTTTCTTCATTATCACATTTGGACGCCAAATTAAATCCATCGTCACTAATTTTTTAAAGTTGATTTTGGCTAAAAATTCCTGTTTGTTTATTCAACGGCATTAGCGTCTTTTTCTTTTTGTTTAAAACTCGTATTAGACTCTATTCTGTGAATCAAGCGGCCATTATTTTTTCTCTTAAATTCCTTGAAAGTTTGATTTAATTGTTATTTATTATTATTTTCTGGAGTAAAGAACTGTAAATTAACAGTATTTCATATTATAGTAAATTTAGTTTTACAATCTGAGTAATTGTTTATGTTGTAAATTGAAGAAATACTGTCTACTTGCAGAGATGTGAAAGTTTTCCATATTTGATTGAAATTGTCTTCATAAGAACTTTAATCCAATGTTTTATTCGTGTTTGAATGAATTGTCACGTGTAGGATAATGATGGAGGAACAATAAGTGATGACATTGAGAATCTACGCGGCAAAGGGCTTTTGGGGGTTGGTATGTTTTGTTTAAAGTCATATTTGAATACTGTGCAATTTCCATTGCATAATTTTTATCTTGATTTTGTTTTCTCATTTCTGTTATAATTGCCATTGATATGCAGCTTCTGTAAGTAATGTCCCTGCAACGGAACAGGCCAAGTGGAAACGCAAGTAAGAGCAGCTTATATAATCTGATTTTGTTCTGTAATATTAGCTTCAAATAAGAAAAAAAATAAACTGAAAAGATAAATTTGATGGTGGTTTTCTTTTTTTTCTTTTTTTTTTTCCTCGAGCAGGACAGTTGTTACACTTGCATTGACTTTTCTTACAAGTTCACAAGCAATACTTATTGTCTGGTCGAAGAGAGCTGGGAAGTATGAGTATAGCGTCACCACAGCAAACTTTTTGGTGAGTGGAATGGTCATCCTGTGTTTGACTTGACATGATGCCCATGGGATTGACCTACTTGTATTTTTGGAAACAGGTGGAGACTTTGAAATGTGCATTATCACTTGCAGCCTTGGCAAGAATATGGAAAACTGAAGGTGTTACAGAAGATAACAGGTAAATTTTACTTGTGATGACTTAAATACATCTTTTGCTAATAATGGAAATGATTAACATATTTTTTCCTTCTATCTGTCATTGAATCAGGTTGAGTACAACCCTTGATGAAGTTATTGTTTATCCCATTCCTGCTGTACTTTATCTTGTCAAGAATTTGCTACAGGTGGATTCTGATTGTTGGTTGTGAGTAATGATATTTTGGTCTTATTTTCCACAATGTAATTGTATGTGTTTTTTCAATTTTATGTTGCAGTATTACATCTTTGCCTATGTTGATGCTCCGGGTTATCAGATACTGAAGAACCTGAATATTATCAGTACTGGTGTTTTATATCGTATTATCCTTAAGAAAAAGTAAGCTCCTTAAACTATGCATGGTGGGCATTTTCCATTTAAAAGAGTTGATGGATGATGTCTGCTGATCATTCAGTATAGCGTAGCATGGCAATGGAAATGGACAGTTGTGCTGGTTCTATGAAATAAATCCAATATACATTCAAGTGGAAGATACACCTAAATAAACATGTATTGGCAACTTTTTGGATACCATTCATTTTGCTCTTATCGATATTCTGATTTCAGATTAAGTGAGATTCAATGGGCAGCTTTTATTCTTCTATGTGCTGGCTGCACCACAGCGCAACTAAACTCTCGGTAAGAGTGATAAACCTTTCTAATTGCTCCCTTGATTGGATGGGTCCACAGTTCATTTTCGAGCATATGCTTGTTACTTTAATGCAAACTTATTGATCTTGGAGATTGTCTTAGTGCTGTTGTATAATGGTTTGAGTGATGGATGTGTCTATTGCATCTTGATAAATGTCTAAGATTGACAGGTAATGATTGAAGAATTTCAACTTGTATATTTTTTATGGTTATAAGTGGAGTCTTTGAAATGGCAATCAATATCTCATATTCCCAGTCTCAGTGAGGACGGGGGCGTTCTGTTCTAAATTTCAAAAATTTTATGATTTATCTGAATTTATTATTTGGCTATGCTTTAGTAAATGGCATTATTTTTTGCAGTTCTGATCGTGTTCTTCAAACACCTCTTCAAGGTTGGATAATGGCCATTGTAAGTTGCCAAAATATTTTCTAGTCTTTTATTGCAATGAAGGAGAAATGTGAAATTGATTTATTGCTTCAAATCAAAATTTTTAATCATTGGTATCTTTATTTGCTTTGCAGGTGATGGCCCTTTTGAGTGGATTTGCGGGAGTGTACACTGAGGTAAGTTTTTTGAGATACTTCTTCCAATTCTTCTTTTTTAAGCTACAACTTGTTTTCAGATGATTATTTACTGTTCAGATGTTTAGCCAATGTTGCCTGATTAATGAAAAAGCCTTAATTCAGTTAAAGGCATACAGAGCTTCTGCCGAGTGCAACTAGGAAAATTCTTGACTGTTTCATAGAAATTCTTGTTAATTATTTACTTCTTCTGCTGGCAGGCTATAATTAAGAAGCGCCCATCAAGGAATATAAATGTCCAGAACTTCTGGTTGTATATCTTCGGAATGGCCTTCAATGCTGTAGCAATACTAATACAAGATTTTGATGCTGTCATGAACAAGTAATCTGAGCCTTTTAATCTGTTGCTGGCACCTATCTTAGAAATAGTATTATTAATTCTGCATGTCATGCGTGTATGCGTATGCATGTGACTTTTTACTTGTAGTCGCATCTATGTCTTACAAAGTGAAGAATCCTCTGTTTAGTAGTTTAAAATGGAGTTCTATTTTAATGACTTCATAATTCCTTAATAGTTTTGTCAGTTATTTATATTTTGAAATATGTTTCATTTGCTCAGGGGTTTCTTCCATGGATACTCAATAATTACCACTCTCATGATCCTTAACCATGCACTCAGGTATTACATTCTTCTTTCTGGCTTGATCAAGTTTGCTAGCAGCTAGTTGATGATTCCAGTTATTGTTTTGCAGTAGATACAGTATTTAGGAAGATCTTGCAATCTTTTCTGATAGTTATGTGGAATTAAAGTTTGTTTGTTATTGGAGAACATTGTGAACACTGAAAAATTTGTCAGACTGACTTTTTTAACAATCAGAATAGCTTATTTAAAATGCAATGAGCTACGCAACCACTATTCAAGTGGTGCCTAGCTCGTTGCTTCATGACCTGCCCCTTCAATACTTTAAGAAATGGACTAACCCTTGATCTGAAGTTCAATAAACTAACTCTGCACTTCTTTTGGCACTGTTATAGCTGAACTACATCCAGAACTAATAAGAATCTCTTGACGTCTGCCTAAATATATCTTCTTTTTGCAATGAGAGCTTAGATTTCTGATGATTATTTTCCTTTTCCTAGTGAAGTACTATTTAAGTACTGACTTGTTAATTCCCCTGTTTTGCTTTCATGAAATATGCTTTTGTATTTGTTCCATTTGCAGTGGCATTGCTGTATCAATGGTAATGAAATATGCAGACAATATTGTGAAGGTAAGACATGAAATGAAATTTTATATGCAGTCAAACATTTATTTGTCTGCTTTTACACACACTTCTCTAATTTGTAAGAATCTTGTGAGTTAGGGATGTCATGGTTGTTCATATAGAGTAATGTTCATGCATTTGCATGGACATACATTTGTGGTTTGATCAACAATAAAGGAAGTTGCCAGTCCTTTCTCAAGATGATAGGGTTACTTGTTTATTCCACTGTTTCCATTATATTTGACTGCAAGTTTTCTTGATGATGGAACTTGTAAGGTGCTTTATTTTAAATGAACAAAAGCTTCATTTTATGTATCTATTAGTTATACTATATACAAGGTTGCTTTGATCCCTATGAAGTGGCTTGAAGTTTAAGTTAAGAATCTTCTATAGCTCTATAGCTTCATATTAGAAGCCTGCTCGGGAGAAATTGAAACTAAGGAATGAATTTGTCGCTTCATAATGAGATACCCTAAGTGTTCCATGAATTATTTATCCACAATTAAAAATATTTCAATGGATCAAACCTTATGGAAATGATCTTTTTTAACATAAAGTAATTATCTGCCTATTTGGTAGAGTAATAAAAGGGCTCAAATGGTACGAGGAATGTGCCTGTGCATGCATAATGCATTAGTACCCATTTTGAATCTTTCAATTGAAGTTCCAGTGTTTATTTATCTTCCCAATGTTGTGCAGGTGTATTCTACTTCGGTGGCAATGCTTCTCACAGCTGTTGTTTCGGTGTTTCTGTTTGGCTTTCATCTTACCCTTGCTTTCTTCCTTGGTGCTATGTAAGTAATAAGTTATATCTTGCCACATTTTAATATCCATACAGTTAATAGAGTCTCTTATGTACAAGCTTCAATTGTGGCATCTGTCATAATCTGCAATGTCGCAGCTTGGTAAAAGGTCCTGCACATAGGCCTTATTTCTTACACATTTAGGGAGTATAGCATTTCATCCAGATCAAAACGCGTAGCGATTATGTTGAATTACTTTAACTCTCTTGCTATTGCAGTGTTGTATCGGTATCGGTATACTTACACTCTGCAGGGAAGCTGCAAAGATAGTGACTTTTTGTGCTGCATTGCCGACATTGTAAAGTCTAGTGAACTAAGGTTTTTTATTTCAGTCTATATTTGTTCCCACTCCACCCCCCAATCTATTATCTTATTTATAATCTTATATTTGCCAATGGTGAAAATAGTCATACATAAGTTTTGTTAAATCTCTGTTTCATTTAGTTCAATATTGTTAACCCGGTAAGTTCCTAGTTTCCAATTCCTTGTTTAACATTTTATCAGAAGTTAGATAGTTGGGGGGATTAAGATGGTGTTAGAACTTTTATTTGTAATTTGATCTAATTAATTTCTTTGTTCTTTCTGATGTCTATCATTGAGTTATCCGGTGGTAATCCAATGCTGATAATGTGGTGTTAAGAGGAAAGAACCTGTGAGATATTACTTTGAAAGCCAAAGATATAAAAAGGCAAATACTGGTCAGTCTGAAGCAGAAAAAACATGGTGCAGCCTGACAATGTGACCGAGAATATGCAGGGGAATCATAATAAGGCAAAAAAATAGCTCTTAAAACACATGAAGTTCAATGTTTTCTGTCAACGAGCACAAGTAGGTTATGGCAGTTTGTCAAGAGGAACCAGAAGAGGGTAATAATCATGAAGTTGCAATGATTCAAACACCCAAACCAAAACCAAGGTTCTTGGCAGTTCGTCAAGAAAAATTTAAGCTGGCGCAGCAAGTATATAAAGCGGTATCTGTTTATTACCAACAAGAACCTGGGTGAGTTTCTAAATGCCACTGAACCTGGGTGAATGCACACCTTTAAAGCAAAACTAAGAATCTGAACCGATTTCAAAAATACTTGAAATCAACACAGACAATATTTTTGTTGAATCTAATTCAATTGAATCTTTTGATAATCTTGATCAACTAAATGATCTAAGAAAATATGTGAGATCATGTACTTAACACCTAATTTGTAATGTGATTTTTTATGAAGGTTTATCACCTAATTATCGGACTTTTTGTTATCACACTAAATAATATGTAGATTTTTAATAATATTCATAAAGCATTTATGCAACCAAAATGTAATATGGCTATTTTAGAAGAAATCAGGGCCTTAGTAAATAACAAAACATGAGAGATTTTAGAATTATTCAAAGAGAAAAATTCAGTTGGGTGCAAATAGATTTTTACTGTCAAGCACAATGTAGATAAAAGTATTAACAAATTCAAAGCTTGTCTTATTGTAAAAGAATTTATTCAATCTTATGGTGTTGATTATGAGGAGATATTTGCTTATGTTGCTAATTTGAATTCAATTCAAATGTTATTATCATTGGTAATAAATCTAGATTAGCCACTCCACCAACTAAATGTCAAAAATACATTTCTTAATAACGACTTAAAAAAAGAAGTTTACAAAAAAATCCCTCAAGGAGTCAAAAATGAAGACAATTTTGGCGAGGCATGTAAACTTCAAAAGTCTTTATATGGCCTCAACCAATCTCCATGTGCATGGTTTGATAAACTTACAAAAATGGTAAAGAAGTATGACCTTTTACAATGCCAAACCGATCACACCATGTTTATCAAACATTCAGTTGAAGAAAAAATAACCATTCTTATTGTCTATGTGGATGATGTTATTTTTACTAAAGACTATGTGGAAGAAATTAACAACCTAAAGAACCTTATAGCTAAAGAATTTGAAATCAAATATTTGGGACACTTTAATTTTTTTTGGGCATGGAGGTAGCTCACTTAAGAAACGGCATCTCTATTTCACAAAGTAAGTATGTCCTAGACTTACTAAAAGAAACTGAAATGCTTGGATGCAAACCTATTGACACCTCTATAGACACAATGAATAAGGTAGAAATAGAAGAAGGAAGTCCACCAATAGATAAGAGCAAATATCAAAGACTTGTAGGGAAACTATCTACCTCTCTCATACAAGATTAGATATCAAATTTTTGGTTAACATGGTAAGTAGATTCATAAATAATCCAATCGAGGAACACTTGAGGACTATGTATCGAATTTTACAGTATCTAAAGAAGAGTCTTGGCAAATTGTTTTTTTTTAAGAAAGCATCACATCGAAATATTAAAATTTACATTAATGCTAATTGAGTTGGATTTGTTATTGACCGAAGATCAACTACTAGTTATTGTACCTATGTGTGGAGAAATTTGGTTACTTGGCAAACAAAAATCAATTTGTAGTGGCTAGAAGTAGTGCGAAAGTTGAGTTTAGAGCTATGTCTCACAGCATATATGAGGAAATTTGGTTGAAAATGTTGCTAGGGGAGTTAAAGGTCTCCGCAAAAGAATCCATAAGTATATTATGTGAAAATGAAGTTGCCATAAGTATAGCAAAGAATAATATTCATCATGATAAGATTAAACATGTAAAAATTGATCGTCACTTTATTAAAGAGAAGATAGAAGAAAGAATTGTTAGATTAGTTTATACTCCCACATACTTCCAAATTGTAGACATTCTCATTAAAACTCTCTCGAAATAACTTTGAGAATTTAAAGTCCAAGTTGGATATGATTAACAACTATTCAGCTTGAGGGGGAGTGTAGAAATCTAATTTTTATTATTACTTGATTAATTGACTTTATTTATTTTAGTTAAATATCTTATTTTTAGAATAAAGAGTGATTTGGGTAATTACATCAAATTCATTAGATATTTTTTTCATTATGTGTAAAGAATAAATTACTCTTTTGATTGGCTGTTTTTAATGCATGAAAATCTTTTGTTTTAAGACTAAGAATATTCAATATTTAGCCTATTTATTTTTATGCTATTTAAGCATTGTAATAAAAAAATATAAAAAAAATAAAATAGTTTTATTCAAGAGATTTCTTTAAGAAATATTAATAAATAAAAAACCAAAAATGAAAGAAATTAAAAAAAAAATTAAAAGTAAAAGTAAAAGTAAAAGAAGAGTAAGAATGAAAAAGTAAAAAAAGATATAAATGGATGAAAATTTTTTTTAAAAAAATTATTTATTAATTTTTTTATAATTATCTAACTATGTTCGAGTCGTAACGATATTATAATAATTTTAGTCAATTATGTTAATAAATATATTTTAGTAATTATGTTAAAAGGAGTATTATAATAATTTTAGTTAATCATAGAAAGAGAGGCATTACAATCAACTTGGAAGCACGCAAATCAATTATAAAGTAATTAAAAAAATATTATAATCATTTATAAAAAGATTCATTTTATATTGTTGTATGGATGTTAAAATTTGATTCGTAATTACTAAGTAATCAACAATATATTTTTATAATTTGTAATTATGAAGTAATTAAAAGGAATTTTCTATAATTATGATTAAAAGGTATTATAATAATTTTAGTAATTTCAATACGAGAGATATTTTCGTAATTATTATAATAAGGCGTTTTCGTAACTATAGTTAGAAGATTTTCTAATAATTTTGGCAAGTTAGAATATGAGGGGTATTTTCTAAAAAATGTATTTTAGTAATTATATTAAGAGGGGTATTATAATAATTTTAATTAATCATAGAAAAAAGGATATTACAATTAATTTGGATGTATATAATTCAATTATCAAGCAATTAAAAAGGTATTATGATAATTTCTAAAGGGATTAATTTCATAGTATTAAGTGGATGTTAAAATTTAATGCTTAATCATGAAGCAATTAAAAGGGTATTTTTGTAATTGTGCTTAGATAGTAATTATGGCCAATTAATATGATAAGTATTTTTGTAATTATGATAGGAGAGATATCATATAAAATAATAAAAAAATATATTTTTTTTGTAATTATGGTTAGAAGATATTATAGTAATTTTAGCTAAATATAATATGAAAAATATTTTTATAATTATGATAAAAGAGATATTATAATAATATTGGTCAATTATTGTAAGGGAAAAAAAAATACATGACATACAATTAGCATCCAATCAGTCTTAGAAAAAAATTAATTCAAAATTTTTTATTAAATATTTTTTCAAAATTTAATTACAAAAAAAGTTAAAAAAGATAAAAAAAAATTTATATAAGTGAACTCAAATATAACCAAATCTTTTAAAAATATATAATTTTATAATTTTTAAAACTATTTATCAAATAATTTTAAAGAAAATTAAAATAATAAAAAAAGTAAAATTCAAAAAATGACGCACGATGACCAAAAGGAAACAGAGACGTAGACTATATGTCATTTAAGCGTGTTTCAAAAGAATAACAAAATTTTAATTATTTTTTTATTTAAAAAACAAAAAAAATAAACATAAAAATTGGTGTAAGTGGGTCTCACACATAAACATACAATATTTACAAATATATATTTTATAATTTTAAAAAATTTATTAATTTTTTAAAGAAAAAATTAAAAAAACAAAAAGGAAAAAATGAAATAAAACAAAAAAAGAACAATCATGCTTGGCACCTTAATTTTTAAAAATAATTATTAAAAATATTTAAAAAAGTACAAAAAAAATAAAATAAAAAATAAAGCAGAAAACAAAAACAAAGTGACATGTGGGTTGGGTTTTGGTCATGTACTGTTTATCCTTTCGTGACCAAAATATAGGTGTAGGATTTTTAGAAAAAGTAATGAAATATTAATAAATAAAGAACCAAAAATGAAAGAAATTAAATATTTATAAAATCCCAACAGTATATTTATAAAATTTATAAAAAAATCTGACAAGAATATTTAAAATTTGATAAAAAAATATATAAATTTTGAAAGAAAACCAAAAAAAAAAAATGGGGATATAATATGTGGCAGCACGAAGGAGGAGCACTATGCCTTGTTCTTAACAAAATTGAAAGTATGGATTTCCTACCCTACAAATCAAGCTTGTTCTCCTCCTGAAATCAATTTGAAAGCATGATTCATGCATTATTTTATCATTGTATTGAATTATAAGAAGTGTAAATGAATAATTCGTGAATAAATTTTATTTTTATTCATTTATTAAATTTAATAAATGATTATAAAAATAATAAAATTTATTTGTGTTTGATATGTTTATATTAGAAAGTGTAAATAAATAAAATATTCGAGAAACAGATAATAACAATTTGTTATTAATGTTTGATTTTTTTGTTTATATTTATTTATTAAATTTAATAAATAATCATAAATAATATTTTAAATTTTTTATATATATAAAATATAATAAAATTAATTCATATACCATTCATTTTTACCTTAAAAATATAAATATAGCTGTTTGAATTGGATAGAATGGCAAGTGGGTCCTGTGAGTCCTTATATGCAATAATGCTTCTTTGGAAGACTCCTCTCGTGGAAGCAGTTTACGTTTAATTTAATAAAAACATGTTGGATCCAATATCGGACGAAACTTGAACCTAATGAGCATGCTTGGAACAAAAGCCTGTCATTGTCAAAAGAACCAATCGTAAAGACTTAGTGTTCCAGAACCATTTTCTCCAACTTTACTTGAAAGCAACATAAAAAGCTAAATCTATAAATAACCACCCCAATACCCTCCACAAATCCATCCATCTATTCTTCTCAACATCTATTAGAAATCAGAGTTACCAATAAAAATGGCTCTCTCCTTGCTTTCCGGATTCTCCATTCTAACGTTCTTTGCTTCCCTTTTCATGTCTTCTTCTCTGGCTCATGATTTCTCCATAGTGGGTTACTCACCAGAGCATTTGACTTCCACGGATAAACTTATTGAGCTCTTTGAATCATGGATATCGAAGCAGGGGAAAATTTATAAATCGATTGAAGACAAGCTGCTAAGGTTTGAGGTTTTTAAGGATAACCTGAAGCACATTGACAAGAGGAATAAGGAAATCAGCAGCTATTGGCTTGGGTTGAATGAGTTTGCTGACTTGAGCCACGAAGAGTTCAAGAACAAGTATTTAGGACTCAAATCGGAGGTTCTCAGAAAGAACCAATCACCTGGGGACTTCACTTACAGAGATGTGACTGACTTGCCAAAGTCTGTTGATTGGAGAAAGAAAGGAGCTGTTACCCCTGTCAAGAATCAAGGTTCTTGCGGTAAGCATATCTTCTCTCTCTCTCTCTCTCTCTTTGCATATATCAATGGTCTTCTTGGGGTCATGCATAACAATTTTTACAACAACATTGGTAAACATGAATGCAGGTAGCTGCTGGGCTTTTTCAACGGTAGCAGCTGTTGAGGGTATAAACAAGATAGTAAGAGGAAACTTAACTTCCTTGTCCGAGCAAGAGCTGATTGATTGCGATACATCTTTCAACAATGGCTGCAATGGAGGTCTGATGGATTATGCATTTGAGTTCATTGTCGCCAATGGTGGACTTCACAAAGAAGAAGACTACCCGTACCTCATGGAAGAAGGCACCTGTGAAGAAAAGAAGGTAGATACAATATTCATATAAACATTTTGTTATGCAAGCAATGGCTTATTTGATTAATCATGTCTTTGGTTATCTTCAGGATGAAATGGAGGTGGTGACAATAAGTGGTTACCACGACGTACCAGAAAATGATGAGCAAAGTCTCTTGAAAGCCCTAGCTCATCAACCACTTAGTGTAGCCATCGAGGCTTCTGGCAGAGATTTCCAATTCTATAGTGGGGTAAGCTTGTTGGCTTTTTAAATAATCTGTAATCATAGCATTCAACGTCACAAGATTTCTCTCATTCTTGATTTACAAAATGTTTTGGGATGGTTTAACAGGGTGTATTTAACGGGCCATGTGGAACTGAACTAGATCACGGAGTAGCAACAGTTGGCTATGGAACATCAAAAGAATTAGATTACATTATCGTCAAGAACTCCTGGGGACCGAAATGGGGAGAAAAAGGGTACATTAGGATGAAGAGGAACACAGGAAAACCCGAAGGACTCTGTGGTATCAATAAAATGGCTTCATATCCTACCAAAAAGAAGTGAAGTACTGACCTGAAGATGTGGGTTTCGTTGTTTAAGAAAACTTTGATTTTTCCTTGTGTAGACAAAATTTGTTGGGCTTCTTTTGCCATGTTCCCTGGTTAATAAAAATGGCTCAAAGTTTCTCTTGAAAAAACTTCGCATATTCTTTAATAAAAAAAGCAAACCAGTGTATGCCAGTTTCCTTTTTCCTACCCATTTTGAGAAATAACCTTGGAATCAACTAATTTGCATGCATCCACGCCATTCTCTTCTGTAAATTGAACACATTAATTTGACCAAAAAATAAAGTTGAACACAATAGTAATCAAAGTAATCTTTAGTTGTTTGGTTTTGGTACACCGTTTGCAAAACCAACGCATCCAATGGGCTTGGGATATGGGAAGGGCCACAATAACACGATGGATAAGCTAAGTCCAGAAGGTAACCTGAGCTGAAAACAATAAATTTTTCAGCATAAAAGGTATTGTGAGAACTGAGGTGCGGTAACCTATTATTAGCAGTTTCGGGTTTCATACCTCTCGAAGACAAAGCAAAGAGCATCCGGATTACAGTTTTTCTCTAATAATAATTCATAGTGTGGAGTAGACTCACAATTTGTATATTCGTTGTAAAACATTGGAAATTCGTGTATTGGTGTTATCTTTTACATGAAAATTAGATTTTGTTATGAAAACATCTCAAAACTAGTATCGTAATCAGACCATCCAGGGATTGAGAGCAGAACACAACTTCACAAACTGCATACATATATTGCTAATTCATTGCTGGGTTACTTGAACATGTCAAAATTTGAAAGCTAAGCACATGGTGGTGGGATTTGGGTGCCAATGTATTTAGCCCTAACATTTTTACAAGTGGAAGTCACTTGCTTCTCCCCTGATGCTAGTTCCAAGTGAACATCTTCAAGGTAAATATCCTGGCATGGAATCCCTTTGCTACATTCTAATACTACTGCCACTGCTGATGATGATGTTCCCTTTATTTTCTTGAAATATATGTCACTCAGTTTTACTTGAGATGGTCCCTGCACTCAGTCATTTGTGGCCAATTTTTTTGGTCAGATCTTTCCGGATAAAATTTGCAGAAATGTAGATATTGACATCTGGAGTCTGGACTTACCGTTGGGCTACAAGATTTGAATGGACAATATGCCTGATCAATTATAATCGGATTGCTCACATTGTTCATGTTAATGTTCTCGAATGTCATATTGGTGGCAGCACTTCTGCCTGGAGAGTTAGGCCATGTCTTGATCCTAATGCCATTCGTGGTCCCTGTCATGGTGCAATCTCTAACCACCAATCCACTTACATCACCTTCATCCCTGTATCTCCCTAAACTCCCAACGCTGTAACAGGTAATCACAGAATAATAATTTTTTAAATTTAGTTGATCAAAGTAGGGGATTAATGATACAATTATGAGAGATAGGAGGAAAACGGTGCAGCAGGTAATGACAAAGTTAAACAGTACCTGATGCCATGACCTGGCCCGCAGCTGATGCCGGTGACCGTGACCTGAGAATTTCCTTGTCCAATAGAGATGCAGTCATCACCTGTGCCTATAAGTGATTGCGACAAGTGGACACTGGAGCTTCGCTGAATGTGGATACCATCAGTGTTTGGACTATCTGCTGGAGCTGAAATCTTGATTTCGCTGCCCTTGAAGTTCTTGCATCCAACAAGAGCTATATGGAAGAACTTGCTATTTACTGATGTTATGCTTCGTACTACCGTCCTATTCATCGCAACAAATTTCACATTCTGCAAGAAAGAAAGTTTTCCTCATTACATTCGATCCTTATTCTTGGCTGCAACCTATTATGACTCGTAAATGCGCAAAATGCTTGCTTCATGCAAGTTTGCAAAAAAGCACACTTCCCAAAGCAATATGTAGAAGTAGACAAATTGCAATACAGCTGATCAGAGCTAAAAAAATAAAATGTTTAAGGGCAAAAGGTTATGAAACATACAGTCGGAAGAAGTTTGCAGTTAAAGTCAGCAGGGCACCTATTGTAAGGCCATGCTTTGGCACCCAGCCCATCAAAGGTCCCTCCTCCAGTTAAGGTTAGCCCCTCCACCCATCGAAATTCAACCCAACCAGCACCATCTCCATATTTAGACAAATTTGTTGTTGCCTTCAGATAACCCTGAAAAATTCTTGCTCAATCATGGTCAAAACTATGTGTGGAAATGCAAATGGGATACAAGAAAATAAACCAGGCTGTATGCAAAAATTACCTTCATATGGACTGTTATTTTAGACACATTTTTACAGGGTCCTACAAATTTAACAGGGCCAACCAAGTAAGTCCCTTTTGGAATCACAAGGTCTACCTCACCTATAGCTCGACATGCTTTCTTCCATGCTGCTCTGAAGGCCTGGCAACTTGAAACTAACAAGTTACAAAATTATATGTTGGCAAAAATAACATACAACAAAACTATCAAGATTCTATCTTGTTTGCCTTTGTTAAATGAAGACAGAAGCAGAAGGAAACAAACTTTGCTGTCATCAGTCAGTCCATCGGCTCGAGCACCAAATCTCTTAACATTGAAGAAATCAGAGCTGCTTCCCTTGTAATGTGATAGCCCCCTTCCATAATGTTCAAAGCCTTCCGTTCCTAAATCTACCATTCTCCCTCCACTTCCTCCACCAAAAACACCATCGAAACAGAAGGAGGAAAACACCAAGAGCAATTTGGTGTGAATGTCAAGTCTCATGTTCCTACAATGTGTTATTCCTTTGCAGTTCAACCCTGCAGTTGTTTGACAGTATTCTCGTGGAGTTGTGATAGTGTGCAATTAGCAAAAGAAAATAGTGCGACACCGGGCCAACTGGTAAGGTTTGAATTTTCGAATGGCAACTGCAAAGGGCGGGCTTTTGGGCATCTGGAGAACCCATAACCACCGTTAACTCCCACTCCACTATTTCTGAAGTTATTAACCGTTTCAATCACAGAACTCTATTTTTAATTTTTTTCTCACAAGACTAACTATCACTATTATCATCCATAAAACAATCTTGAACAAAATCCAATGTAATCTCAAAACAGAGAAGAAAAAATTGCAGGGTTTGTCTTTGTTAACACAAATTGTCATGTTTTGACAGAAGACCCCAGGAAGCCAACGGGTGTGGAGAGACAAAAGGGAAAGGGTTAGAAAACTGTCAAATATTTTCGTGAGTGAAAGTACAATTCGACTGCGCGTAGGTATGATGTGGTCTGGTCGTTCGTTTTGTCACACTTACTCCCTGGCTTGGTCGAGAATCCCAGGCTCAAACATTTTAATCTTAATTAGTGGAACTATCATCTGGTGGGTTATAAACCATTGGATTTTACATCATGCCTTAGCATTGATCAATCTTCACAGATCCCCCTCTTGAACTGAATATTATAGTCTATATAAAATGTTAGAACTCCAAAATTGGGTAAAGCTACTTTGTTAAATGCATCTACAATGGCGTGAGTTCAAAACGAGATTAATCAATTTTCTCTTTATATTAGTTTCTTCCTAGTCCCAATCAAAATAAGGATAGATTAAAGAGATTTCTTCTGGTTTTCACTTTTTGTTGCATGAATTCGAATCTGCTAAGAGGTTGTAGAAAAATAATTTTCATGAAATCGTTAAATTAGGTATAAATAAATTGTTTGAATTGGCCCAAAAAAAGAAATGTAGCATATAAAACTCAGGAATCCTTACCACTTAACCAAAAAAATGAAGGAATTGATAAATTGGATTTGAAAACAAGCACCCAAGTAATGTAAAAAGGATGGCGTCTTGTTTATTTTGGTTAATCACCAACACCTTTTTTTATCTTCATTGAAATGGAATCATGTACTGGACACCATCAATAGGTTGTACTAAAAGCAAACCTACATGTATTTAATCAATCATCTAGGATGAATAAAATTCTAGAATAGCAAACTGGCTCCAGCAAATTTAGGAAAAGACATGAAGCACATATTATCGCTGGATTTTTTTTTTCTTCATCTTGTTTATAAAGCCTCATTTCTGTGCCTTTGCAAACCTGATACATCTATATTTTTCACCAATTACAGTGATTTCAAGAGCTCCATCTTGGTTATCTTGATTAGATGTTGTTCCCATTAGGGCACTTTTCTCTTTTTCAAGGTTTTCTTTTTCCATCTTCAGCCTAGCCTCTTGTCGGGCAATCTCTACCTGGAAGATAGCAACAATATTTCAGAAGAACAAAACAGACATAGTCAAGCAACAGCATACAAATATAAACTTATGCAACATGATGTACTTTATATGCTGGTATTATGCTAACTCAATCAGGATTCTCTAAATCGTTCATGTGCGAAATAAACATATTAAAGTTAACCTTACACCATTGATTATACATGTAGCGATAAATGGACCATGACGAGTTAAGATTTAGAATTCCCATTACTGAGACCAAATTTTGAACTAATCAAATTCAATTCATAAAAGAATAATCACTTTGATTTGAGTATTAACAAAGATAAATGCATGTCAAAAACCTAATGAAGAGAAGGAACATAAAATGACTAAATAGAAGAGACAATAACAAGACTAACAACAATAATTTCAGTGAGGAATTTAGCAATCAGCAGTACGCCCTGGAAAGGAGGAAATGGTTCAATAAGACAATCTAACAGCAGGATTTTCATATACATTTCTTATCATCATTAATGAGAGCTAATGCCATCAGATGAATGAACCTATTTCTGTAGCCCATTACACTTGAAAAATAACTTCTCATAGAAAGATACCAGAAATTTACTAACATCAAGAAAGAATTTGAGCAAGTTCGCCACTCATTAAGAACTAATGATAATAATAATAATAATAAAGATTTCTTAACCAAATGATGGATGGCTCATGCAACAAAGAGAATGTGCTCTTTTTTATTTTTATTTTTTTGTTTATAGAGACGGTAAATCTATCCAAAACCGTTGGGTTTTGACTCCACCAAACTCTATAAGGTTTTTTTTTTTTTATCAAGCTTTGGTCTGGCTGAGTTTTTGTAAAACCGGGATTGGGTTTTAGTTAAATTCGTCGTGATAATAACAAAAAAAATATTTTTTATTATTTATTTAATTTTATATTTGTATATGTGTTATATTAATAAAATTATTATTTAATATTTAATTTAAAATATTAATTTAATAAAATATTATATTTATGTATAATTAAAATATAATTTATATTAATTTTTTTTATAAAATATTATATTAAATTAAAATTATTAAATTAATTTTAAATCATGTTGAATCTATTACGATATTTTATATATATATATATATACACATGAATTAAATCAGATTATATAAAAAAATTTTAATAATAAATCAAATCAAATTTAAATATAAATTTTATAAAATCTGATCAGAGAAAAAAAATTTGCCTAATTTAATTCTATTCATTATTATTCTTGACTGTATAATTTTGAATCCAAAAGACTATAAAAATAAAAAATTTCTAGCTTAACCGATCCAAAGAGAGACAAAGCCCATAAAGCGTTCTAAAAAATAGATTTCTCATTTCTCTATATTCGAGAAACTGCTCCGATCGCTACTGACCCAAAGAAAAAAAAGGGAAAAGAGGAAAGCAACCAATTAAATATTTATGAAGGAAAAAAAAAAACTATCTTCAATATCAATACTAATCAACCTCAATTTCCATAAACTTTCTCAAGTTTAAAAAAATGATACAACTAATACTGGTTGCAGGCAAAGCTCAGCTTCCCTACATAGAATGGGTCCAGTAATGGAGATCGTCACTGGAAATAAGAAAAAAAAGGAAGAACAAGAGCAAGAAGAAAGATGAGAATAAGAGTGTTTTTAAGAATTTCTGCTGTATGCTTCATAATATTCCGTTCTTAATACATATAGCATCAGCTGTATACAATAATCGAGACAATTTCAACAATTTGTTTAGTTGTTCTATTGGTTACAATTATAACTATCCTGCTGAACTCGTATAACTGCTAATTATCAAAATATAAAAAAATGAACTTTATTTTTTCGCATAGCTAAGGCTGACTCTGGCCCAAATGATTTATCCTTCTTCAGCTCGTAACAATCAAGCAGCTAACTTTGATGCCAATTAACCATAAAATTCTGATATCTATAATCAACTTAAATTTCACATTTTTAAAAGAAAAAAAAAAAAGGACGTCGCGGCGAGAGAGCCGAGCATTCTAGCAGCTTCACGCTAGGCGACTTCGCGCTCACCTTCATTATTCTGCCTTGTATGTCGGCTTCCAACGCCTCTTTCCGGTCTTCCACCATCTTATCCACGACAGCCCTTATTCTCAGCGACATCTCTTTCTTCGCTTCCTCCCCTCAACCTTTTTCTTTTCTCTACTGAACCAGAACTCTTAGTTATTGCCAATCTCTTTCAGTTGAGTGGGTCGAACATCGAAAGAGAAGATTGGTCCCATTATTTCAGCGGATACTTCCCATCTTTTGTTGCAAATAATGAATCGAGAGAGCCCAATGAAAGAAACAGGAGAAAGGAAAGTATTTCACCATATCAAAGGCAAACACTGACTATCGATAATCACCGAAAACTAATTTCTTTTTCTTTGGTACATGAAAGAATTTCTTTAATATAACTAAAATAAAATGCGTGAACAGGGAGCGCAACCGATCACAACCCTTCGTTTTTTGTATGGACTAGGCCACGTTGGCTTCTCGTCTCATCCCAGCCCACCGTTGATTCCTTCAAAAGCGCTGCGTTCTCCTCTATTGCTTTCCTTCTTCTCATTTGCAAGTGAAAAGACATGGTGAAACCAAAGGAATTTCAATTTCTATAGTAACTATAGAAATTCTTTGAAACAAAGAAAAAGGAAAAATGCTAAAACGAAGCAATGAAAACCGTATCAGAAAAGCTAAAATACATAAGTTCACCTTCTTCACTATCACGGTCTTACTCTCTAACTCTCTTGCTCCCCATACTAAACCCAGAAACCCATCTTCCTCAACTCTGCTAAATGAATTCGTAAACTTCTGCTACCGAAGGGACCTTCCCAGGGCTATGAAAGCCATCACTGCCATGGAAAGGCACGGCATTTATGCTAATTCAATCACCTACTCTGAGTTGATCAAGAACTGCTTAGCCCGCAACGCTGTTGAACAGGGGAAACTCGTTCACAAATACTCAAATGGGTATCAACCAAAAACGTTTCTTCTGAACATGCCATGCCTGCATGGAAGCGCAGGCTTGTTCGACCAAATGCCTCAAAGAAATGTTGCTACTTGGACGACAATGATATCTGCTTATGCTGATGCCAGGCTAAGTGGCAAGGCATTGGAGTACTTTGTTTTAATGCTTCGAGTAGGCGTGTTGCCTAATATGTATACTTTTTCTTCGGTTTTGAGAGCCTGTAATTGGCTAGTCAATCTTAGGCAGCTTCATTGCGGTATAATTAAGGTGGGGTTAGAATCTGATGTTTTTTAAGGAGTGTTCTTATTGATGTTTATTCAAAATTAGATAAGTTAAAAGATGCAATTTGCGTTTTTAATGAAATGGAAACTAAGGACTTGGTTGTTTGGAATTCCATTATTGGAGGGTTGGCGAAAAATAGTGATAGTGATGAAGCTTTGAATCAGTTAAAGAGGATGAAAAGAGCTGGCTTTGGAGCTGATCAAGCGACACCAACAAGTGTTTGAGAGCTTGTACTGGGTTAGCTCTGCTAGAAGTAGGGAGGCAAGTCCACGTTCATGTGTTGAAGTTTGATGTGGATTTGATACTCAATAGTGCACTTTTG